GCTGGTGTTGGCCGCTGTCGGCAGACAGGCTACTGGGCTAGATGGACCTTTGGTCTGACCCAGTACGGCCGTTCTAAGCTCAGGACTCAGGCTCAGGGGTCTCACTGGACCACCTTGATTTTCATGAAAACCTGCTCCTGGCTGGCCAGCTATCCTGCCCTAGAGGGCCACTTTTCTGTGCCTACTGTGGAGGGGCCCAGGGGGGCCCCTGCCTCTTGTGGCCCGGGCAGGCTCCTGGGAGCTGCCAGCCTGGTCCCAGGAGGAGGCGGAGGGCTGGGTGGCAGCAGGTGGCTGGTTCGTGCTGTGCCAGGTGCAGGGTCTGCTGGCTGGATGCTGGCAGGCTTGCACCTGGCACGGGCACTGTCGTCAGACCGTGCCCCTTTAATGGCTCTGGGGCCAGGAGGGAGGCAGAAGAGTTTCCCTGGTGGTGCCCAGAGTGACCACCAGGAAAAGCTGGGGAGGGATAGCCTCCCACTATTTTGAATTAAGTGGCTACACAGCCCTTAATTCGAACTACTTAATTCGAACTAGGCATTAGTCCTCGTAGAATGAGGTTTACCTAGTTCGAATTAAGCGCTCCGCTATTTCGAATTAAGTTCGAACTAGCGGTTTGTATGTGTAGCGCCTATCAAAGTTAATTCGAACTAACGTCCGTTAGTTCGAATTAACTTTTTAGTGTAGACATACCCCCACAGAGGTACTAGCCCTACTTCCCCCAAAAGAACAGCACTCCCCAGCTTGCAAGATACAGCTCAGGATCATCAGTCCACTTACCACCACAGCACGTCAAATATATGCACAGTGGAAACAAGGATAAGTTTTCATCAAAGAATAGAGTTTCAAGTTATTGTGAATAAGAATGTTAGAAATAAATCTACAAAGAATCATAGTGCTTTTTCTAGAGACTTGACTCAACTGACAAGTTAATCTGTCTAAAAAAGTTTCTTTCATCCCAAATTCTCTTCAACATTTTCAATCCAGCCAGTTTGAAAGCACTTTTTCATGAAACAAACTAGCTGTCCTTTTATTTCCTCAGTCAAGGGTGGCTGATTGTCTTTGTCTTCTAACTATAGTAGAGCAAACCTTTCACATATACCTCCTCTGTTTTTCTCTTCCTGTTAGTTTCGGTCTTTGATGTTTTCAATATCCTTCATTAGCATTCAGTTCCGAAGGGTAAAAGGAAGTCCATTGTGAACTACACCACTGGTTTACAGCCTACTTTCATTTGTGGACCTTTACAACATTTCTAATGGAGGTTCAAAACCATTCAGTATCTTAGACATAGTCTACAGACGTCCGGCGATCTGTGGACCACAGGTTGAAAAACCCTGTTTTATGGCAATGACAATCTTTTTTGGATTTCTTGAACAGTCTTTAGACCCCAAGGGGTCTGTGGACCACATGTTGAAAACCAATTCACGACACATACTTAATTTACATAGAAACAGACAGATAGACATTTGGGCTGTGTCTACACTGGCACCCTTTTCCGTAAAAGGGATGCTAATGAGACACTTCGGAATTGCAAATGCCGCGGGGGATTTAAATATCCCCTGTGGCATTTGCATGAACATGGCTGCCGCTTTTTTCCGGCTCGGGGTTTTGCCGGAGAAAAGCGCCAGTCTAGACGGGATCTTGCAGAAAATAAGCCCTTTTCCACAAGATCCCTTTCAAGTAGGAACAAGATCCTGTCTAGACTGGCGCTTTTCTCTGGCAAAACCCCGAGCCGGAAAAAAGCGGCAGCCATGTTCATGCAAATGCCACAGGGGATATTTAAATCCCCCGCGGCATTTGCAATTCTGAAGTGTCTCATTAGCATCCCTTTTACGGAAAAGGGTGCCAGTGTAGACACAGCCTTGCTGTCTGACTGGACACCTGCTTTTCACCTTTGCTGGTGACAAGTC